CCATCTGCATTTCCTCTTTGGAGAAGTGTCTTTCTAGCTTTTCTGCCCATTTTTTGAAGGGGTTGTTTATTTTTGTTGAGTTTCGTCAGTTCTCCATATTATTTTTGTGATCAGTCCCTTTATCACTTCTTCTGTGTGAGAAAATATTTTCCCTATTAGTGGGCTGTCTGTTTTTTGTAATGTCTCTTTTGCTGTACAGAAGCTCTTTAACTTGATATGGTGCTGGGAAAACTGGGAAGCTACATGCAAAAAAATGAAACTAGATCACTGCCTCACTCCATTCACAAAAATCAACTCGAAGTGGATTAAGGACCTAGACATAAGAACGGAAACCATAAAACACCTGGAAGCAAAGATGGGCCAAACACTACATGACATACGCTTCAGTGACATCTTTAAAGATAGAGCACCCAATGCCACAATAGTGAAGGCAAGGATAAATAGATGGAACTACATCAAGTACAGCAAAAGAGACATTACAAAAAACAAACAGACAGCCCACTAATTGGGAAAAAATTTTCTCTTAATGTTTAACAAATATCAAGTAAGATGACCATTAGTATTTTTCCATCTGCATTTTATAATTAGAAAAAAATCAGTGAGCAGCTTAAATCCACACTTATGTAAATTAAAGACCATTAAATAAGGTCTCATTTTCTTAATGGTTCTTTAAAACTCCAAAGGGAGGCTTTGATCTCACACAGCCTGTTCCTTAATTCAACCCAGGAGAAACGTGAAGTACAAAAACCTCCCTGTTGACAAGCTAGATGGAGACTCTTTTGTTTTAACAGTGCCCTCTTGTGGGCAATTCCCCTCAAGTGTCTGCCTTGGATTTCTCTGGAAACCAGCAGTAAAGTATGTTTGCAGCAAGGTGATTTTGGGTAAGCAGACCTGGTGGTCAGGATCTCAGTGGGCTTTTGATCCCTGTTGGGGAAGCAGCTCATCGTTTCTAAAGCAACTCTTCTCATCCCACCGTGGTTTGGTAGACCATGGTAAAGTGTAAGTAATTCCTTTGTGGGACTTCTAGGGGGTAAGCTGTTTTCCTGGTCAAGGGCCTTGTTGATGGAGGTAGTGTCTTGCTACTGCCCCAGGTCATGCGCCAGCATTGAATGGTAACTTGGAGAGAGAATGAGCCAGGCTTTGTGGGCTTCTGCATCTTCAGACTTGCATTTTGTAGATCCCTATGCTTTCATGTCTTCCAGTCCTGTGTGCTATCCCCACCCTTTTCAAGAGCTCCAATTGCATCAGCTTTCTGGAAAATAAAGTAATAAATGAAGTGCCGGGTCTTAACCCAGGGAAGAATTTCATTTTGGAAACTTTGGTGTTTGGTTTAAATTTATTTTCCATGACTTTGTTTTAGTCCCAGACAAAACCATGGAAGGTACTTCTTATCTAACGGCCCTCACAAAATGGCAAAAATCATATATGCCTTTTAACAACTAGAAGTGTTTAGTTTTTCCTCATTTTCCATACACAGTGATGAAAACAAACCAGAGGTGGAAGGACTGGAGCCTGAGCCTCCATAGAATTTCTGGTGTCTGCTTTTTCACTGAAGTTTGTAAGGGGAATTCTTTCCAGGGTCTTATGGTTAATGGTGAGGGTTTAGTAGTTGGGAAGCCATTTGAACACAGACTTCCCAGAGCCTAGCTATACCACTTATTGTGTGTGTCACTGACCTAACCTCACCCTGCTTTTTATGAGAACTAATACATGATGGATTAAAGGAACGTAGACAGTACCCAGTCAGTCTGCATTACAGCTGAAAATTGGGTAAGACACCAGAATTTGAGAATAAGATCATAAAACAACAACTCTTAAAACTGAGATGGGTAACAATGAACTCAGAATGAATGAGACTGGTCATGTGTGGGAGTGACTCCATTGAAATGACATCTTGTAAATTTGACTGATAAGACTTGATGAAACAATGAATGGACAAGATGATGGGAAGATCATGCTTGAAGTAAGCTGACATCCAATGGGCTGTATTTTGGCCCTTTTTTTTAGATGATAGACTGATTATTAACAGGGATGACTTATGTGGAGATGAGATCAGAATGAGCAATTGTAATCAGCCCTGTCATGGGGATGGGTGTTTTGGCCATAGTGCACAGGTCCTAGGTGATACAGGTATCAAGTTCAGCAAATATGGCATCATTCCTAAGGGGTCGATGAGGCTCTTGCTTTGGGTGGGTAGCAACCCCACAAAGCAATTCCTCACTTTTTCACTACCCTGAGATCTTGAATTGAGTAGAGTACTGGTCCATGAGGGCAGCAGGCAACGCAAAAACTTGTGGGAGTTGGACAGCTTTGGTCCCCTTTCCAGCTGGGTATAATTAGATAATCACACACTTTTTATTTGCTTCATTTATATCAGCGATGTGGGTTAAGTTATTTATCCTTCACCTTCTTTTATTTCTCAGTGTTTTTCATTGCAATTGTGTGATGCAGCAGACATGGACTTGGGCTATTGTAGGTGTAACCTTACACCCCATAATTTGTTTCTCCAACCTCTACATCCTGGAGAGAAATCCAAGTAGAAAAAAGTGGACCCTGATTTAAGGGAATCCAGAAATCCCAGCTTCATCTACACCTGTCTAACATTTAGCTCTGTGAGAACCTCTAAAGATTGATTTTGAAGAATAGGATGGTAGGATTATTAAAATGGTTGCATTGATTTTGCATGGTTTGGGTGACAACTGCTGGCTGCTGTGATCTTCAGGTTTTGGTTATCTGGAAAGCAGTGAAAACTTTGTTACGATAAATAACTTTATAAATTTAATTCACCTTTGCTCCTAAATATGATTGTCACTTTCCCTTGTTTACATTTTTATATTTCAGTGATTCTGTTAAATAGCAAAAAAGGATAGGGTTGCTTTTTGCTTGCTTAAAAAGTTTTCATTAAGAACTGGGATATGGGCCCTCCCTGGTGGTGCAGCAGGGTAAAGCACAGAGCTAAGAGACCACTTCAGCATGAATTCCATTCCTGCCCTGGAGGTGATCCACATGGCCGGGCAGACCTCTCCTGGCCTATCTGCTGCTCCCCTGAGCAGTGTCGATCTGCTTGTTCTGCTTCTCACTCTGTTTCTAGTGAATCTCTCACTGCCCCTATGCCTCTGGACTGGACCCCAGCTCTGTACGCATAAATAGATAAATCTTTGGGGGGAAAAAAAAACTGGGATACATGCATATTCTGTTAACAGTTCTGCATTGATTTATTTATATGTTGTAATCTGTATGAGGTGGAAGGAACATTCGAGTATATAGTCAAAACCAAAGCGGCTTTTATTAAAATATATGGTAATTGTTCTTTTATGGTTTTTGGCTTTCAGGTTTTCAAAACCCTCGGCACAGATGTTGTGAAATCTGCATTTGAAGGTTATAATGCTTGTGTCTTTGCATATGGGCAAACTGGATCGGGAAAGTCATACACTATGATGGGAAATTCTGTACGTTATTTATACTGTGTGGGAAGAAAATTTCTCATTATCTCTCTTTGGACTGATAGAAATTATCTCTTTTATCAACTTGGTCTGTACTAACTTGCTTTTCATGTTCTGATCATTCTTTAGCAATAAGATAAAACTCAGTAATAGGTTGAACTAAATTTCCTTTGAGAGATTTTAAATTAGAAATAGTTTTACGTTTATAAGCATGAATAATGGATGTAAGTCTCAGTTCATTTTCTGTTTTTAAAGGTTTTATAATCTTATCAAAAAAGTATGCTGGGCCCACAAGTAATTTATTCTTCTTTTCTGCCAACACAACAGTTTGAATAAAATTACTGAACCTCTATTCCTTTTAAAATTATTCAAAATACTTTCCTAAGAAAAATGTAAAAAAAGAAAAAAGCAAACCTCTTTGGTGGTAGAAAGGTATTATATAAATCCAGAAATTATATAAAAGGAATTAGAATTATGTTGTTTTTATAGTCATATGGTTACAAACATAGTAGTTAATGTTTATTAGTAATGCTCTACTTACAGACATTAAAGTTACCATTACCTCCAAATGTGAAGGAGTAAAAACTAGGCATAATTGCAGGGACATCATCTTATTCTGTGTTTTTTCCAGATCTAGATATGTATGTGTTTTTACCTTTTTTATCCTTCCTTGAAAACTGTTCACAGGTGATCAGATCCATGGTATGTTCTAGAGGTAGAGATATTAGCAGGAAAACACAGGGCTTCCTTGCTGGGAGACACAGAGGTGTCTTTATAACTAAAATAGTTTGGGGAAGTAGTAATGTATTTAAGGAGATCGGTCATTCCAGATCGAAGTATTTCAGCGTGTATTTAGCATCTTAAATCCATGATTTTCATTTACATGAAAGGGTAATTGCTTCTGTGGTTCCTCAGCATTGAAAAGTAGAGAAGAACAAATAGAACAAGCATAATTTCAAGAGTTTCACATTTCCTTTTATCTTCTCTTTTCCTACTTTTCTACTGTGCCTTTGGAAAAAAAAATCTCTAAAAATGAAATTTGCATGTGATTCTATAGCTATTTCATCTAATAAGCAAAATATTTCTAAAGCACTCATAGATGACAACTTTTTTTTTTCTTACCTTATAATTGAGTTCTGTTTGGCTCTTCTATTTTGTTTTTTTTTTAAGTAAGAATAAAAAATATGCTGAAGTACCCTGAATTTCCATGATAAGAACTGGTACTGATTTAATAATTTAAGGGGGAGAATTCTTTTAAAGCTAGAGTTATATTTCTTCTAGTTTTTAGGTGTAGACTTTGGGTGAAGATAGGGAGGGATTTCAGAGGGAAACATGCAGGCTCTGAATTCTTAATTTCCTAACAGGGCCACTTTGCCTCACCTTTAGGCAAAGGGTTAGATTTATTAATACTGACAGAAATGGGTATATTACTGGATATGCCATATTGTGTATGCTATATTAAAACCTTCCTGTCTAGGAAGGTCAGTACCCCAAAGGAGGAATATTCTATGTGTTTTAAAGTGGACTGTCATCTAAGTTTTAAGATATTTATTGACTACTTTGAGGACTTACTAAAATGTTTCACTGGTATTTCTTTTCTTCCTAATTTATATTTCACTTTCCTTGGCTGTTTGACTAGACCAGATTCTTATGCTGTAGACTGTTATGTTTGAAAGTAAGAGAATAAGTCACCTCTTGTTTGCTGCAAGCCTTGATTAGCTGATTAACAAGTAACAACCATATATTACCATAGTCCAAGCAGGTAGAAATGATCAAACTCAGTCCTCTCATTTCAGAGAGTATGAAGCAGTCCTGAGGGCGAGGGTAAATGGTGGTCTGGGCCCTCGGGTAGTAGGCCTGGAGTGAGCATGCATGTCCTCTGAGTTTAGGTCCACTCCATTAAGTTTCAAGTTCAGTTACCAGTTGCTTTTATTCCAAGTGACAACTGTGGCATTCCTCCTTTCCATTATAGGGTGATTCAGGCTTAATACCTCGGATCTGTGAAGGACTCTTCAGTCAGATTAATGAAACCACTAAATGGGATGAAGCATCTTTTCGAACTGAAGTCAGGTAGGGTCTGTGACCTGAGTAACTGAGTGTGAGCTTGGCTGGAATTTGCTTTGAATACAGGGGGTCCTAAAGAGAGCACTTGCCTTTGTCTTCCTACACTATGGTATTTTGAAGCTTAAAACACATTTGTTTCTAGTGTGATTTGGATTAGGATTTGGGAGACTGCAGAAATCACTCAGTTTGGTCAGAAGCTCTGACAAAGAATGAGTACCACAAGTGCAGTGCATTTGTGACTAGTTGTTCCACCTCGCTCTTTTGCCTTATTCTTTTGTGCTATTCCTTATGTTGATAGGCTCACTCGAAGTCTAATTTTTAAGTACATCTGAATGGCTGAGGTAATTTTTCCTCTTTGAAATTAAACCTGGGGATTCCAGTCTCTTGAGTGATTTGGAGGACAATCTGGTGTTCTCAGGGCTGTTTGACTTTCAGTGAGAGCTTATGTGACCTTGGACAAGGTATTTAAATCATCCTATCTCCATTGTCCAATATAATAAATATTTGGACAATGCTTAGACTAGTTGGACTATGTACCTGATACATAGTTACACTCATAAATGTGTGTTAATGCTATTAATATCTGAAGTCATGCTACTGAATGCAATTCTTGCTACATTTTTTAGCTATTTAGAAATTTATAATGAACGAGTGAGAGATCTACTTAGACGGAAGTCATCAAAAACCTTCAATTTAAGAGTACGTGAGCATCCAAAAGAAGGACCTTACGTTGAGGGTAAGCATGCATATTTCACAGTCCTGTACATCTTGGAAATTTGTGCAAAAATAGTAATTTCAAAGGGAAACATGTCATAAGAGTGAAATTTAAAAAAAGTATTTTTGCATTTTATTATAGTAATGCTGATGTTAACTATCACTACATCATATTCCTTTAATGAATTCATATTTCACTGGACATTCACTGATTTTATGGGGCTTTCCAATAGTTTTCCTTTTTCCCTTTAATTATTCATTCAGATATTAAAGCATATTAAACAGCTGGTTTATAAAAATACAGAATGATTGTATTTAATTTAACCCATTTGATTGAATGGATTAAACATTCAGAATCTTATCTAGACACTTAGGGAGATTTCGTTTCTAATCTGCTATTCAAAGTTTGGGAGATTATGAATTATTAAGATTTGGGAGAAAAAAAGTAAATTGACACCACAGCTTAGTGTTTATACCAGCATAAGGGAGAAATAATTAAAAAATTTAATGTAAAATGTGAACTTGTAAAGTGACTCCAAGAAATTATGGGTTAACATTTTCCTAAAATTTGGAGAAGACTTTTCAGAACTTGGGTCAAAAACTCTAGAAGTAAAAGATGACAAATTTGAAATATTATACTTGGCAGAAACACCATCAGCAAAGTAAAAAAGACAGTGTACAAAGTCCATAAGTTTTTTTTTTTTCAATTTTGGATGCTAATGGATTAATTTCCCTAATATATAAAGAGCTCCTATATATCACTAAGGAGAAATCAATAGCGAAGCAGATAAATGAACAATGGATATAAACAGATTATTCACAGAAAGAGAAATACAGATTGCTTTTAAATGGATAAAAGAAAGCTCATTTGCACTCATAATTAGAGAAAAGAAAAATGAAACTATGTTGAGATGACATTTGTTACCTGTTCCTGGCAGATGTAAAGAAGCTTGATAGGACACTGTTTGCAGATAGGCATTCTTACCTATTGCTTCTATTGGTTGTAAATTGCCATCTGTGGAAGAGAGTTTTGCAATATCTATCAAAATTTTGTGTATGCTTTGATCCAGCAGTTTCACCTCATAAGAATTCATCCTGCAGAAAGACATAAATACAAATTATTTGTAGTACCTCTACTTATAATTGGAAACAAACTATAAAAATTTTCTATAGTTTCAATAGGAGATTGGTTATGGTATGTACATGCAATCCAGTGTTCTGTAGTCATAACAATGAATGAGCAATCAATCACTTTAACCAATATACAGAATGTTCTTCAATATATTATTACATAGAAAAAAGCAGGAATGCATGACAATGTTTGTAGTATGCTGTCATTTCTATGAAAGGAGGTGGAAGATGGATTTTCTATATATGCAGTTGCCTGTATGTGTATGAGTCATTTCTAGAAGGGTGTGGAGAAATTAATAGTAGCTTGACAGAAAGGGAATTGGGGGCTGGGCAGTTCCATAGAAGTAGGAGGAGCCTCTTTACACAGTATGTTTTTATAGCCTTTGATTTTAGAACCATATGAATGTATGAAACTTCCCAAAAAAGGAATACAAAAATCTTTTAAAGGGTTTAAAAAATGCTTTCAGGTTTTACGTGAAGGTAGAGTAATTATCTACTCAAATATACTAATAAAGCTGATGATAATAGTTGACTTTCTTCCTAGATACCTTCTCTGGTAGGTCTGTATTACTAGGCAAGGTGATTGAGGCACAGGGGTGAGTGCCTTGGTCAGAAGAACCACACATGTGCACAGGAAGCCTGGAACTGAGTTTGATGGTAGGCAGCCCAGTTCCTTAGTTTGTGTCACAGATTTCCACAGTTTAGGAAGTAAGATCTTTAAACAAGCCAACAGTTTTATACAGTCATGTATTATTTCCTAGAAGTAAATTTCCTGTCCTGCTTGTTATGCTAGGGAGATTTCTTCACCCTCTTTTTTTCATTTCAGATTTATCAAAACATTTAGTACAGAATTATGGTGATGTAGAAGAACTTATGGATGCAGGAAATATCAATCGTACCACAGCAGCAACTGGGATGAACGATGTCAGTAGCAGGTCTCATGCCATCTTCACCATCAAGTTCACTCAGGTAAGGGCAGCTTTGGGCCAACTGGCTCCATCCCTGAGCTCTTCACTTCTGATTAACACCAGCTGAGGACCCATCATTGTTGAACCAGGAGCAGCAGCAGGCAAAGGTGACTGACTGTCATTTTCTTGTTAATTAGAATTGAACATGTGTTGTGTGCTGGGTTTCTCTGTGGCTTCAATGACAGTAATTTGGAATATCCTGATGTGTGCCTTTAAGAAATATTTAGCAGGCTCTGTCCTATTCTAGACTTGGAAAAACAAAACAAAACTATACACTACCCCAAAATTTGGCTTTATGCTTAATTAAGCATAAGTTTTCATTATTGCAAGCTCTGTGGGAGGTAATGAATTGTTAATCAGACCTTCTGGAGGCCAAGGTGAGTAATTCATTGTAGTACATTATCGTTTCATGAAGCTCACCTAACAATGTTGATTATGATTGTTATACTATATTAAAGGACAGCAAACATTTTTAACTACTAATGTAAGAATTCCTTCTGATCAAGAGGTGGAGAACATTTTGAAAATGTTTGGGAATGATTGAAGGTAAATATTTCCACACCTAGGCCAATGGAACACATGAGCATAGATATGTATTGTCCTCTGAGGACTCAAGCATATGATAGGCGTTTGGGGAAGACCTAGCCTGTGTTAACTGTGAACACACCAGATGCAGAAAGAAAGCACTTAAGCAACAAAGAGGAAAAGGTCAGGAAATTTTCTCTCAGGTCAATAAGGAAAACTCTGATAAATTCTCCAAATCTTAAACATTCAGTAGACCTTTGCTTTTGATATAGTGTGTTTTATTCTTCTCCCTCTTGCTTTCTGACTAGCTTCAAAGAGACTTGCATTTCTATCAAAATATGCTAATTTTTATGGCAGTTTGGTTCTAGCTAAAATATAGGAAAAGCAACATTTTGGTGTAATTCAGAATCAAGGAATATGGTGTTTAGTATTTTCACTTCTAACATAATTTGTGAAATAAATGTTTTAACATTGAATAATGGTTGAATTACCTTCTGTATAATTATCTACTTTTATCACATTTGGAGTGACTTTATGCTTGGAATGCTGGGAATTGTAGATGAGGGCAGCACTAACTATTTGTTGACTTGCAGTTTTTTTTGTTGAGTGCCCCTCAGTGCCTGTTCTGCCACAGGTGGCTGTTCTGCCAAAATGACTGAGTCATTGGAATAATGGATTATTATTTCAGAAAGCTTATGAATCACTTATGGTGTACTTCTATTACTGAATTTATTTTTGGAAGTTTTCATAATTAGCAAGCTAGCCAATGAAACAACAAAATTAAAACAACTTTCTGCCCTGAGAGATCACAGTGAAGATCAGAAAATAACTAGAATTTGTATTATAAACAACATCAGGACTCTTTAAACACCTTCAGTTTTGCTTTTATATTTTATCACAGGCAAAATTTGATTCTGAAATGCCCTGTGAAACTGTGAGTAAGATCCACTTAGTCGATCTTGCTGGAAGTGAGCGTGCAGATGCCACTGGTGCCACTGGGGTCAGACTCAAGGAAGGGGGGAATATTAACAAATCCCTCGTGACTCTGGGAAATGTCATTTCTGCCTTAGGTAGGTTATGTCTGCTCCTGCCTTGTCTCCTATTGTTTGTGTATTTGCATGAAATAATTATGTAACGTTTGTGTCACAGAGAAAATAGCCTTAAGGATTTTTGAAGCCAATTAGAGGGAAAAAAAAAATCTTTATTAATTTCTTTTGGGGGGGTCTTTCTTTTCCCTCCCTGCAGCTGATTTATCTCAGGATGCAGCAAACCCTCTTGTAAAGAAGAAGCAAGTTTTTGTGCCTTACAGGGATTCTGTTTTGACTTGGTTGTTAAAAGATAGCCTTGGAGGAAACTCTAAAACTATCATGATTGCCAGTAAGAATTTTAAGTTCTTTTCCTCAGCATGTTATGTTTTATGTGAATTAACTCTGAATATTTAAGCTTAAAGTGTCTCATTAGAAATAGCTTTCTGTTAGTCTTAAAAAAAAAAAGCATCTGTTAGATTCATTAGGAATACCTTTCTGTTAGCCTTTTTTAAAAGAAAATCAGTCTTTGCTATTTTACTCATGGACCCCCTTTCTCTATCTAGTACCCAGACTTGCCATGTGTTTGCTCATGGAAGTTGGGCTACAGGTAGAATGACTCTCAGCTTTTCTTTCTTTAAGAACAGCATGGAAACTTTTGATACCACTAGCTCATATGGGAAGATCATTTACAGTGAAAATAACCCAGTTTAGTTTTTCTGTTATAAAGCAGAAAATGTGGAGTTAAATTTGAGAATTAACTCTGGGGTGTGTAACCTAGAGGAAATTGTATAGTTACCTAGTTCCTGAAGTTTAGAATTTGGGGTGCTGGTGGTGTTATTAATAAGATTTTAAGATTGAAAGAATTTACTGCTATTCTAACTTGAGAATTTATTCTGCTTTGGATTTTACAGATTTTTATTCTGGATTTTTTTTCTATCCTTTAAAAGTATTTTTACTTAATGCTGAGAAGCACAAATTTTGAGATGGTCTTCCTATGTTTCTGTAGAGAGAACTCCTTAACTACAGTGGAGTATCATAGCTCACTTTAGAATTGGCTTGATGGCTGATTCTGGACTTGAGAAGAGCAGAATGATATTTAATTTGGTATAGTGAGCACCCTTTCCTATAAATCTTCAATAATTTTTAATATATATTACTGTGGTGATGGATATTTGGTCTATCCACTGACGTTGGGTTATGCTGACTTTTAAATTACAAACCAACTTTGTGTTAAATGAAACAAGGAGTGTTGGATAAATTATATTTTTTGAATCCATTCTTCACAGCCATTTCCCCTGCTGATGTCAATTACGGAGAAACCCTAAGTACGCTTCGCTATGCAAATAGAGCCAAAAACATCATCAACAAGCCTACCATTAATGAGGATGCCAACGTCAAACTCATCCGTGAGCTGCGAGCAGAAATAGCCAGACTGAAAACACTGCTTGCTCAAGGAAATCAGGTTGGGTTTTTCTGAGATTTATAGATCATTTTCTTTATGTAATGGCATCTATTTCTACATCTTAATGAGACAATGACCTCACTCATAGCGTTGATTTGAGTAAATAAATGCTAAGTAAAGATTTGCATGAGCTAGCCAGTTTCTCCTTATATCCCATTGGCCTCTGTGTTCATTATGTGCTCTTTGTGTATGATTTTGTCTATCAAACCTGAAGCGATTGACTTTCTAAAAGTTACCAATTATGGATGGAAATTTAACATGCGACAGGATTAGCAGAATAAACAATTGTGGAAGGAAATTGAAGTACATGAAGTGATATTTAAAATTGTACCTATTCATTTTTTGAGTTGAAAACGTATTTCAACAGGGCGAAAGATTTGTTGGAACACCTTTCTTAATCTCTGAGCACCATTACAGAGGAGGTTGTGGTGGTACAATGACACGTGTGGCCCGACTGAGATGATGCTTCTGGGACTGTCAGGGCGTGCTGAGTGGCCTCACTTCAGTTTCTTATGAGACTCTAGTGAAGGACTCATCTCTTTTTGTCTTTTTTTCATAGTAAAGTTCCTGTTAGTCTACAGAGTATACGTGCAAGGGCTCCTTCTGTGATGAGTAGTTTGAGTTAAGTTCTGCTAGGTTTCTACACTATTGTGATAAAAGGCCACCCTTCTAAAGAAAATCAAAGGTTACCTTTATAAACGTTCCAGTAGGATGGAAGTTAGAAATTAAGCAGAGATACATTTCTGCCTACTTTCTTGCCCCATGAATGGATATTTTAAGTATGTCATTAAAAAAAAATTCTTTTTCAATGCATAGTGCTGTCTCTTGAGCAGCTTTCTAGCTAGGAATATATGCCCTTGAAGCTCTTATCCCATAAGGTGGTTTGACCTATGAACATATTGAAAACGTTGCTGAATTTCCCATGTTCTGAAATCCACCTAATGGTTGTTTTCTATTAAGTGGTGGCAGAGCTTGAATGAAGATTACTCATGGCACTCAGAGGTATCTCCATACACATTTTACTTTTTGATGTGGAGCAGAGCCATCTTCTGATGTTAGAGTGACAAGCTGATTGTATATTTCAGGCTCATATACCTTGAATCATAGTTGTCACTTGTAGTACACCTTGTTATTAGGATTTTTTTTACAGACATCATTTGTCTAAAGTGAACATATATGGACTGACAGGATCACCTAAAGTGAGGTCTGAAAGAAAGTATTTGGAAAAATTTAGGTAGAAACCTAAAATTTTAACCTTTTACTTGTTTAACCTTTTATAAAGTATGAGAACAAAGAAGAAAGAAAGATCAACCTTTATAAATTGAACTAAGGAATGCCTTGAAAGTAGCCTTATCATATGGACAGGAAAACTTTAATTTATAAAAATGTTAATAAATTATGTCAGGAATGTTTTCAGAGATACTGGATATGCCAGGTGCCTTAGACTTTGTTCTTTTGTATTGTTTGCTTTATGACCAAAGACCACTTCTGTAATTAATCACTGCTGTATTTTAGTGGTGAGGGTGGAAAAGATAGTTAATTCTATTTTAGAACACATTCAAGATAAAATTCTTTGATAAATTTAGTACATTACAATAAAAATGGAGTCCAATTTAAAATAATTTATCATGCTATGAGCTTTAAATTATTGAGGCAATATAGACTTATCCTAATTAATTAAATTTGTGATACTCAATAAAAAAAGCAGGTGTTCTTAAGTGCCCATTAAAAATCTATATATAATTTTTTTTGTGACATTGCTCTATTCCAAATACTACCATGGTTCAGAAAAAATATTACTCAAATCAAAGTTCCATTTCTAGGGTTATTTGTTTAAGGACAACTAAATATTAGTCAGCTCCTACTGTGAATAATTTTATGAATTTGCAATGCAAAATGTCATATGCATTACAATTTCAAAAGCACAGTTTTAAAAAAGCAAAAGATTATGACATGTATTTGCTTTTCTTATATACAGATGCTATGTATATATGTGTGTGTATGTGTATGTATACCCTACACAGATCAATGAATATTTGCAAGCTGAATTCACTCCTGAATGTGTAGCCACAACCTGTACCATGGAAGCCCCTCTTAATGTTGTTTAACTTCTAAAAATTATAAAGTTTTGCCTATTTCTGTTTTTTATGTGAGTGGAATCATGCATTAAATACTGTTGATTGTATTTTTTCCCTTAACATTGTGTTTGTGAGATTGATCCATGTTTTTTTTTTAAATTTATATGTGTGTATACACACACACACACATATATATGTATGTATGTATGTGTGTATGAGAGAGATTGTTTTTACATCATTATTCCTTTTTGTGCAATGTTTAATTTTTTCTTTCAGGTATAATCCCCATAGAATTCCCATCACTAAGTCACCCATGAACCATTGCCACAGTTTCTTAGGCTCTTCACTCCTCTCATTTTATCCCTTTCCCTTTTCTTCTGCTGAATGTCTGCTAGTTTTTTCTCTCCATCCCTTGCCTGGTTCCCCTATATTCCTCCTATAAGTGAAATCATCTGATATTTTTCTTTTTCCTTATGACATATTTCACTGAGTATAATCCCTTCCGTATCCATCCATGTTGCTGTGAATGGCATAATTTACCTTTTTCGTATGCATTCTTTTGTACATATATATGCTGACACATATGTACTCATATGTATATACATCTTTCTTATCCAGTCATCTGTTTGGGACATTTAGGTTGTTTCTATATCTTAGCTACTGTAAATAATGTTGCAGTAACATAGGGGTGCAGGTTTCCTTTTGAATAAATGTTTTTGTGTCCTTTGGGTAAATTCCTAGGAGTGGAATTGCTGGGTCATATGGTAGCACCATTTTTAGTAGTTTGAGGGACCTCCACTTAGCTTTCCATTGTGGTTGGACAATTTTGCATTCCCAACAGTAGTGTGTGAGGGTTCCTTTTTCTCCACATCCTTGCCAGCAATTATTGTTGCCAGCTTTTAAAAAATATGGGTCATTCTCATTGTGAGGTGGTGCCATGTTGTTTTGTTTTGCATTCTCTTGATTTAACTGATGTTGAACATTTTTTTCATATACCTTTTGACCATTTGTATTTCTTCTTTGTGAAACTGTCTTTTTAGCTCATCTGCCCTTTTTTTGACTGGTTTGTTTGCTTTATCGGTCATTTGAATTCTTTGTATATCTTTGAAATCAATCCCTTATCAGTTGTGTGGAGTGCAAAAATTTTCTCCAGGTTAATAGGGTGTCTCTTTGTTTTGGTTAGTGTCTCGCTTGCAGTATAGAAGATTTTTAATTAAATGTAGTACCAGCTGTTTATCTTTTCTTTCATGTTCTTTGCTTTGTGGGATGAGTCTTTAAAGATGTTTCTGAGATACATATCATGGAGTGTTTTGCCTGTTTTCTTCTATGTATTTTATGGTTTCATGTCTTATGTTCAAATCTGTTAGACATTTGGCATTGTCTTTTGTGTATAGTATGAAGTAGTAGTCTGGTTTCATTCTTTTGCAGGTGGTGGTCCAGTTTTCCCAGCATCATTTATTAGACTGTCCTGTTCCATTTCATATTCTTTGGATTTTTGCCAAAGAACAGATTAGTTACCCCTATATGTGTGGTTTTATTTCTATGTTTTCAATTTTACTCCATTGGTTAGTGTGTTGGTTTTTGCTCCAGTATCATAGTATTTTAATTATTATGGCTTTGTAGTATAGCTGTAAGTCTGGAAGTATGGTATCTCCATTTTCCTTCTTTTTGTTAGAAGAGCTTTGACTATTTGAGTTTTTTTTTGTGATTCTATATGAATTTTAGCAATATTCTATTTCCTTGAGAAGAATGCCATTGATATTTTTATTGGAATTGTATTGGAGATTCATCCATACTAGTGCAGGTAGTGGTAGAGCCATTTATTCTCATGGCTATATTATATTATTTGATATAGGTATGTCCCAATCATTTATTCTTTCTATTTTTGATGGGCATTTGGGGAGTTTCCTGTCTTAGGACTATTAGTGCTGCTAGGATTGCTTTTTACTACTTATCTTGCAGTGGACATACAGATAAATTTCTGTTAGGTTTATTTGTAAGAATGGAATTGGTGGTTTTACATATGTTTATTTTTAGTAGATATTGTCAAACAAATTTAAAAGTGAGTACACTAATTTTTATTCTAATATTAGTATATAAAAGTGTTAGTTATAGTTACTTAGGTTCTTAGCAACACTTAGAATGTTGATTTTTCTTTGTAATTATTCTGATAGACTATAGAATTACAGAATGATTTTAGTTTCTTTTTTGTGAAGTTGACCATTTGGATATCTTGGTATTTCAAACATTCCTTTTATTATATTTAAAGCATATTTTCAGAATGCTGCTCTGCATTTTGGAAGTGCACAAATGTCTCTTACCTCTCTCGTATGTATCTGGATTAAGTAATATAATTAAGTAGTATAGAAAATTAAGTAATATAGAGATGAAATAAGGAACTAAAGTCAGTAATTAAGAATTTAGTAATATAGAAATGAAATATGGAAAATTAAGAAATAAAGAAATGAAATAAGGAACTAAAGTCAGAAGTAGTAAGAGAAGATGTAAGTAGTGTGAATTTTACATTTTTGTAGCTGAAGTCATAGATAAACTTTAAATAATTACAGGTAACAAAAATATCACGCGTAAACTTTTAACATCTTATATATGGCCACAAAGTGAAACTCAGTTATCTGAGATTTATAAAAGTGGGCAAAGGTCTACCACGTGATTCAAGAGGAAAGAAAGCATTACAAAAACAGTATTATGTACACCTAAAAAAGGCACCTTCTCACAACAAAGTAAAATTTGTAAGTAACATCAAACATGACATCAGGTTTCATAAAAATAAGAGGAAACAACCACACCACATTTATCTTACATTTGCATAGACTAAAAAAAGTAAGGATATAGTATATTTAGTATATATAGTATATGCCACAATGCGAATTTATTCTAATCAGGGGAAAAAAGGAAAAGATAACCAACTCATACAACAGAAGATTACTTTTTTTATGAAAAGAGCTTCTGTTAAAATAATAAGAAAACATTATAATGCAAATGGAAAAGTGAATAATTGTGAGCAAAATCCATAGAAAAAGTTTCATATGATTTCTAACTATATGCATATATATTGAGAATCATTTAATATACAGGAAATGCAGATATTCAGAGTGGTAAAATGAGTATTCTTATGCATATGGATGTATCATCATCTGTCACTATGTAAATTATGTCTCAAACTTAATAAAAATGAGATCTTTTGTTTTAATGTCAAAAGCAGTTTGAGAACTTACTTTTTCTAAGGCAAGTAGTTTTATTTTTTTAACTTTTTTTTTTTAAGATTTATTTATTTGTGCATACAGAACTGGGGTGCAGGCCAGAGGCTCAGGGGCGGTGACAGGCTTCACCAGAGACAGAGTGGGGAACAGAACAGGCAGATCGACGAAGTACACTGCTGAGGGGAGCAGTGGGCGGGCCAGGAGAGGTCTGCCACGCCATGTGGTCACCTCCAGGGCAGGCGGGGATCGAACTCATGCGAAAGTGGCTTTAGATTCTCAGTGCTGTGCTTTAACCCGCTGCGCCACCAGGGAGGGCCTATTTTTTTAAACTTTTTTAACTGAAGTTACATTTTGATATGGTATCATATATGTCTCACATGTTAATCCTCAAGAATCTACATGTATGTATACAGTGGAATCTATAATAGTAGCCATGTTTTAAAGAGTTGCTAAATGTTTCACAACTTATCAACCATATATAAATAATTCATCACAGTAATTTCTGCTACTTGCATTTCTTCAGTGAAAAATATTTATTGTGTATTATCTGAACAAGACAGCATGCTAGGTGCAGTGGTGCATTGTAGTAATGTGCTTATAAAGCTCCTGGCCATCATTAATGATGACTTTCTTTTACCTTAGGATTAATTTACTGCCTTTATAAAGTGGATAATTGGGCTATCTGGCTAATAATAAAAATGACACCTAATTGATAAATTGCATTTGGGTTAGGATGAACTATACATAAACTTCGAATGCCTGGGAGAAGCCATTGCTTTGGGTGCCCTGGGTACAGTGAAGTGATTCTTGTAACTGTCCATGTCTTTGTGGGATCCTGGAGGTTGTACCTGTGGTGGTGTTACAAAAAAATGTTGGCTCCTAAGGGTGTGGAGCCCCACACATGCTTGTGTGTCTCCTGATCCCTCAAGAAGCCAAAATCAATAGAGACTGCACAGATGTGAGGACTGCTGGGTAGACTGCACTTGACCTTATTTTATCCTCCCTGCCCTTAGCTCTGATTTCTGCTGGGTAGACAGATGCCAGGTGTGACTCCCTGGAAGTCTTGTTAGTCTGAATGTTTAACTGAATGTGAGAAGACCACCTCATGCGTGCATTTGTTTGAATAGAAATTGTAAAATAAATAGTAATGAAAAAAATGCTATGGCCTCTGTAGGTGACAGCTTAGCTATTTAAAAGGATGTGCCATTCATATACATGACTCACAGATTCCCTGCTAGGAATTTATTTCTATTGATCTACCCATGTGTATTGTGGACAACTGCTGTAGAATAGCCATTGTAGCTTTGCTCGTAAAGCACAAGATTAGGAAAAACTGTATGGCCATTAATAGGAAAGTGCTGCCATAAATTACATAATATCCATACAGTAGAGTACTGTGCAGTGTAATGTGGATTGTTAAAAAGAATGAAGTGCTTTCATTTGTGCAGAATTTTCCCCAAGATATGTTGTTGAGTGAAAACAGGCAATATTCAGAATAGTATTCATGCTGTTTATGTTTTTATTTTTAAGAAAAAAAAAGCAGCTAAAACATGGTGGAATATGACCAGAATAAGTTTACACAGTAAATTGGTAAGAATGTTAGCCTCTCTTTTTTGTGACATGGAAGCTAGCTCTGTGTTCCTACCTTTCAGGTTATGGGTTTGAGTATGGTCAAAAGCCCTTGCACTTTGCCTGCCTCCATTTTCCTCACCTGCCTCAATTTTCCCTGTTTTTCCTTCTTTATACTTAGTGAATATTCAAGATAGATAAGTCTTTCTACTTTTGCAACATAGCTAAGGGTATGGAAACTTAGGTTGTGGTATAGCTATATCATACATGTATTATCATTCGGTAGTGAAAATAAATCAACATGGAAGAATATAAAAAGCTGATTGAAAGTTGAGCCAGGCTCCTTTCTTTTTGAATTTTATATTTTCTGCATATTGATAGATGAGATAAATAAGAGAAAAATTCTTTAGTTCTAGGCAGTTAGGTAGTATTTAATTTTGATAACATGTCAGTATATTACGTTTGTCTTTTTTTTCTTTTCACTTTCCTGATTTATATTGAAACTATAAATTTACCAGGACGTCATGGTCTTGAATATTATGAGATATGTGCTCCGTGGATTAAAAGTTTTGTGATGATTGACACTGGGTGTGTGTGGGGGCGTGGTGGTTGTACTTTAGTTCTTCTTTTTCACCTCTGTTTAATTTTGATAATTATGTTGTGAAACCATTCTTACTGTAGATTATGGATGTTTACCAATTGCTGTTCTCTTTTATGATTTAAATTGTAGATTGCCCTCTTAGACTCCCCCACAGCCCTAAGTATGGAGGAAAAACTTCAGCAGAATGAAGCAAGAGTAAGTAATGCCTTAACTTACTATTTAAAAAAATCACAACTTCTACTTATTTTAAGTGCCTTCATTTCAGTATTTGCTGTTTGAGACTCTTTTCTCTTCATTACCCTAACTCACTTCTCCCCTAGCTCTACTGTCTTGTTTATTTTTTTAAAGAACAATGGTTGACTTTTGATCATGTTTCCTGTGACTTAATAAGAAGAGTTTGCCTGGCATGTGAAAGTTGAAGTGTAGCTGAAATTCACCCTGGAACACCTCAGTAGCAGACATTGCCCCCAGACCTGGCTGGAGAGGGGCCCTGTTCAGCATTAACATTAACCATAGCTAAGCCATGGCCACAGCTCAGTGTTCTCTCATTCTCTGACTTCGACTCCAGGGGAGGTACAACACATGGGGAAGCTCTAAATACCTGAGGGAGATGTTAGTTTCTCTAAAGCTAGATGATATTAGAGGAGGGAGAGAGTAGCATTGAGTGACAGGAAAAGAGAATAGTTAGGTAAGGGCAGAATGGGGTGTTTGTGCACTGCTGCCTTTTGAAAACCAGTTTTAGGGTTGACTCAGTTCTATACTTTTTTCAAAAACCCCTCCTGTAAAAGAAAAACATATATGAAGAACATAATTTTTTGCAGTAGATTTTGTTCACTACTGAATGGTTAAAACAGATTGAGAAAGAAAATTGGATTTTGTTGGTAAAGTTCTTTCAAGAATATACAATATTGAAGTTGTAAATTGGGTTGTAGTTAGGAACTTGCTGACACTTTCCTGTATAATTGCACTGATTAATTTGTTGATAATAATGGTAGCAAAAAAAAATTAGCTTCTCTATCCCTGTTTTTCTTAGGAAATTTTGTATTTTAGTACTTTAAATTCAAATTTTGAGTCCTATTGTAATGATTGGTGATAGTCTTAAGTTGTTTCTTAATAGTTTTCAGGAATACTATCAGGTTAATAGACTAATAAACATTTTAATTTGAATACATTGTACATGCTGTGACAGAAATGACTGTCTACCTTTTTCATAACATTTTCCAAATTTTCACCTAGTATTTTTTTTTTTTTTGCTGACCTTTAAAATTGTTTTCCATTTGTTTGGCAGTAAATCTTCACCTGATTACATTGTTAGGGTAATCATGTTTGTATTTTTTTCTTAAATTTACTAATGAAGACTATTTGCTTTAAATTCAAGAGTAAAATAAATCCAAGGCACAGTTATAATTTTTTGAAGACTAGAATTATTTGACTTAATTGTGAAGAAAATTGATTGGCTTGCATGTTTTCAGGGAGATTATATCTGTAGTGAAATAATGAAGCATTTATTGTTGGGTGGTTTTTGTTTCTTAGATGTATTGCCAATGAAGATCTATTAAGTGATTATTATAAGTTAGCCCATCCAATACTGATCTTTTCCTCTTCTGTAGGGGAGAAACTTCCCTTTTGAAAATTTCCCAAAAGCTGGTAGCCATGTGAGTTGGGCTCCAGGGGGAACTGGGCAGTCTCACCAGTTATTCAAAAGTGACAGAGCTAGAGAGGATCAGTCTGTTTCTTTTGTTCATAACTGAGAATGTGATTGATTCTGATACTAATAATATCAGAAAGTAATTTTTTAAAAAGATTTATTTATTTATTTGTACACAACTGGGGTGCAGGCCAGAGATGTGGAGGGTGAGAGGATTCCCCAGGGACAGAGTGGGGAGCAGAACAGGCAGATTGACTAAGTACTCTGCTGAGGGGAGCAGTGGGCGGGTCAGGAGAAGTCTGCCTCACCATGTGGATCTCCTCCGGGGCAGGCGGGGATCGAACTCATGCTCTTAGTGCAGTGCTTTAACCTGCTGCACTACCAGGGAGGGCCCTCAGAAAGTATTTTAATTTAAAACCCTGCAGTCTACTTTGAGGTTAATTGAAGAGTAAAGTTAATGTCCACTGAACAATTGACTATAGGTGAGTGAGAAATATTTTGGGTTTCTTCTTTGCTAAATCATCCCGTTAGTTCCTCCATTTCTTGTCAGTAACAAATGCTGACATGAATACTCTTTCAGTTACTGTGCTGTGTTATGGGGAAAGTATCTTATTCTTAACAGGGAATACACAAGCATACTTATTCTGTGCATTAATTGTGACCTCTTAAAAAAGGATAACTTACTAGTGGAAAAAAACATCAGGTTTAAAGGGGATGGAGTCTGCAATTGGACCAGGGAGGTGGCAGAAATGCTAAAGAGCAGACAGGAAAAGGGAGGAAAATGTTGAGTTCTTTCTTCTCCCTACCTCTGGAAAGTGACTCTGCCATAGATATATTCCTTGTTACAGAACACATTTTTTTATGCTTTATTTCCCCCCTACTTCGTGAACAGGAACTATTTGCTGCTTCTTACTGAAGTGCTCATGATGGTCATTAAAAAGAAAAATTATAAAACTAACAGACATTTTCATTAACTTTGAGAAATAATCTCCAGCTGAATTATGTTCATCACTTGGTAGCATTTTCTTCCTTAAGTTACAGCAGACTGGAAAGAAACTGATTTTTATCAACAGACTTTTACTAAAACAGTCAATTAAAGAATAATTTTTATTCCCCCCTTAAAGACAGAATGAGATTTATAAACCATAGTAATTAGCCATAAATGCAGCTTATCTTCAAAAAGAAAACTGCAAGCATCCAAGGTGATTTTATCACTACATCTAATTAGAAAGAAAAAGAAATCACTATTACTAAGGACCTAAAATATAGTTGTGAAAGATGAACCCACTTAATAGGATATTGCCATCCTTGAACTTGCAATCTTCCTTAATATCTAAGGGAGCGTCTCTTACCTATGTTTACCATGAAAAAGACTGTTATAAAACTTTAGGTAACTTGACAGTTTTTTTTTTTTTTGGTACCTTTGTGGTAATTTTTTTTGTAGGATGAGATCAGCTTGCTTGATTTATATTTAGTGATGGTCCTTTCAGTGATAGAAATTACTATATAATGAAAAAAATATAATATATCCTTCCATAAGCCATATAGAAATGTCCTAGAAGAAAATCACAATACTTTTTTTTTTTAATGGAGCTCTTATTTATGTATTTTTTTTAGGTTCAAGAATTGACCAAGGAATGGACAAACAAATGGAATGAAACACAAAATATATTGAAAGTAAGGAATATAAAAAAGCCTTGATCTTTACTCTGTCATCTTAAATAGGCAAAACTTTTTAGTTTCTCCTTCAAATAGGAACTATTGTGTGCTTTGCTCAAGGTAAGATAAGTAGAATCAATTAGTGATTTTTTGGGAGGGAGGTGAGGTTGTATTTTGATTTTGAAGAAACGGAACAAGACTTTTCAACATTAAGGCTATGTCCTGCTGATTCTTAAATTGTTTACTTGTGGAATTTATCTATTTTAAACTCAGTACATATTAAACTCCATTTAGTATTTGAGAACACCCATCTTGCTTTCTCCTTTTGTTAATCCCAATATAAAAGTGGAAAAAAAAAACTGCATATAAATATTGTAATATATATATTTGCATAGCATGACTAGATTGCAGAAATTTCTAGAATACTTAATTGCTATGGTAGCTTTTTCTTTGACTTTAAAAATTGATAACATTTCTGCATTTCTGGTAACATTTATTGTAAAAAGTCAGTAATGGCTTTCAGTTTTGAGAGTCTATGCCTCAATATACATGTTTATTTGTGTTCTTATTTTTTTTGCTCAATCGGTAGAAAACATGTGCTATCTAATGAAGGTGAGCCATTCCAGGCTTCAGGTTCAGACTTGAATTTTGTGCTTTGATGGCATCTCTTATTTTTTTAAACTTTTTTTTAGATTTATTTATTTATACATACAGAACTGGGGTACAGGTCAGAGGTGCAGGAGCAGTGAGAGGATTCAGCAGAGACAGAGTGGGGACAGAACAGGTGATCAACGAAGTATACTGCTGAGGGGGGGCAGTGGGCAGGTCAGGAGAGGTCTGCCATGCCATGTGGATCACCTCTGGGATGGGGATTGAACTCATGCTGAAGAGGCTTTAACTTCTTAGTGCTGTGCTTAGGGAGGGTCTGGCATCTCTCTTACTTTATACATGAGAGAAGGTGATCTAGAGGCTGCTGAGTTCTAGGCTTGTTTTTGAAGTCTGTTGAGGTAAAACTGTCTACAGGATGAAAATCTTGTAATTTTGGTGAGGCTAGAATGGGAGATCAACTGCATCTCTTGGCAGAAATTTAACTTGCATCCCCTTCATGTAAAAATGGGGCGTATAATAATCATTCTATGGGGTAAACTTTTGAAGGCCTAGGTTAACCACTGAGTTTTGTCTAACAACCTGAGTCCTGGGTCAGTTCAGTAACATGGAGAGTTCTCCTTATACTATTATGTAACTTGGTCTACTCCCAGGGTTAAAAAGTCAGCCTCTCACAAGGTGAAAGATGTCACTATGGTGGTAAATTGTGATTGACCATAGAGACATTCTCTCCAGTGACGGAAAGCACTGCAGTAGTAATGAAGGGTATTTGTGTGGAGATTTTTTCCTCTCCTCTTGATGATGATGATGTATTATTTTGAGATAGTTCATTTGTTGAGGGATTTTTATACAGAAAGCTGAGCAAAGACCTCTCTTCCACTTTGGAACAGTTAGGTAGGGAATAAGCATGATCAAAGATCTGTGTATTTTTCATTGTTTGAGTTATATAAACTTTAAGAAGCAGCGTTGGCAGTCCCTGACTTATGGAAAAGTCACTTGTACATTCCATGGTACAAGGGACACTAAATTTGCCAAAGAAAGAGGACAAAATTCTCCATTTAAGGAAAACAGAACATGGGTAGTTTTTTTTTTTTCTTTTCTTTCTTTTTTTTTTTTTTTTTTTAGAAAGTCAGTATATGTAGTATCTGTTAGCCCAGGGGGCAATGCAGCAATAAATTGAAATATTTTACCCTCAGCTCTTCCACTGTAGTAGGGACTTATAACATCCCTACAAAGATTTTCACACTGAGAGTCACCATGGTGAACCCATGAACTTTTTCTCATAAGTGATTGCGGGCCCTGAAGCTAAATCTTCTTCCGATTCCAATTCCATTTTTCATAAGTCTTATTATTTTTATTTTTTGCAACTTCCCAGATGAGAAAAATAGAAATGTGATCTGTGCTAGGTGTTAAGGTTATAAGAAAGGCTAATAATTCAAAAATTTCCCTTCTTTTGACCTTGCAAGCTCATTTTAGGTTTCTCTGCTGGTTTCTGTGTCTTTGTGCTTTAAATCTCTAGTCATTTTCTGCTTATGTTTGATACTTTAAGTTCTATCTTTGTTTCTTATGGGAAGATAGTGTGACAGTGTCTTGGTGTTGAAGTGAAGACTAAGACCACTCCAATCCTTTTAAAAAGACTCTTTGGAAATTGTTAGGGAAATGGTTACTTGCTGAGCTTGTGTTGGTGTGTTTGCATAATCTTGTCCCTGTTTCTGCCGTCTTACTGTTCTGTCAGTGGCTATTGTTTCAATAATGTGGCATAAAGCCCACTCCAACCCAGTGGTTTAAAGCAACATGTATTTTCCCTCATGAGTGTAGATTGACTTGGAATAGGGTGGACTGGCTTAGTCTGGTTTGGTTGGGCTTGTGCTCAGGTCTGCACCTCGTCACTCATCCTCCTGGATCAGTTGGTTGTCGGGGTCATTGTCTACTCATAGTCTTGGCCAAGAGACAAGTTGGCAGGCTAGTCATGTAAGCACATTTCAAGATTCTGCTTGGATCATGTCTGCTAGTATCCCATTGACTGAGGCAAGTCTCTTGACTGAACTTAAAGTCAGTGAGGGAAGAGTTATTTCATCTACAATAAGACCATACAAATGTCAATGTATTTTCCTACCTTGTGATTTGTGGTCTAGTCTACACATGACCATCTTAAAATTTGAATCTTTAAATTCTGGGAACTTGCTCTTCTAGTGAATTTGTACATTTTGTAGAAGCAATAAGTTCCCAGGATTATCTCATCAGTAGGATCCAGTGATGACTCTGTAAGATTGCCAGTTATCCCTGCTAAGTACCAAATCCTACACTTCCACAGAGAGACATTTGGGGAGAAGACTGAATAGAGCTAAAACACTGAGGGAACTGAATGGAAATATGAGGACCATTTATAACACATGTAATGCATGTGTTTTGGTGTTTATTGGTACAGTGAGAGCCAGTCTGCCTTGTTGCTTTTTCTTGCCCAACTAAATTAACAAGATTTTTTTCCAGAAGAGATTCCTGGGTGGTGTTTGAAGGGAGGACTAAGGCACTTCTACTTTTGAAAGTTAATCTCCCAGGAAATAAGAATTTCCTGAGCTCTTAGTTGCTCACAGGATCACAACTAACTTTGCTCCCTCCTTCTTGGTGTAGTCTGTGGCTTTTCTCCCTTTGGATGATTGGATTCTAGATCTTGTCAAGTGGGGCTGGGGAGAGTGAAATGCCCAGGGTAGATGCATGCTCTGACAAAAAGCTGCTGTTTTCAGCAAAGCTGATGGCACTGTGGGGATAAAGTCTGGTCCCTGCGGTTCACTCTTGGGATCTTAGATACTTCAGTCCTTTTTTGACTTCTTGGGTTATAACACTTCATCACAACTGTCACATATCCTAGGTTCCAACCTGGAAATCACAGTGGATGGCAACCTCTTCTTTATATCCAGGATAGCAGGGGGGTCATAATAATAGCATGTTATTATATATATATACACGCACACACCCACACATACATATGTGATACATGTAACAGATATGCTATATATAATATATATAATAAATGTAACACACATATAAAAATGTTCACAGCAATTTGGAAAGTAGCTAATACAGTAGAAAATATGTTTATCTTGGAGAGATGTAATTGACTATATCTTATATCTTGTCACTTACTCTACCTTTCTCATTTTCATTTCCTAGAAATTAAAGTCTAAACTCCCTCCCGTGACCCTCAGATGTAGTGAGTACCCTCTGTTTCATGTGTCCTATCCCAGCAGCCCCATTCCACTCTGTCAGATATTTCACTCCACCCCGCACACACCTGAACATGGGATTTCCTGATGTCTCTTGGTCTGACCTGTATTACTCCCTCATTCAAAATGCTTCCTCTCTGTAAACCTGTCATAATCCATTCTGAAGCTCACCCTCATCACTCTCTGCTCTGAGTTCCCAGGTAGAGTGAATTTGTTTCTTCTGTAACATTTGATTTAACTTCTGTCACAGTACTCCTCTGACTCTGAGTTTGCCTTTTTGACCAGGATCAGTATCTGAGCAAGGACTGTCTCTTACTCTGTGCACCAGATCCTGGGACTTTGCTTCTTACCAAGGAGGCATGCAAGGAAAACATTAAAGTGGTATAGAGAAACAAAAACAGCATCTTTCTTGCTAATTTCCTGTCAAGGTCTCAGAGTGGGTGGCTCCAACAGTAGACATTTTTTTTCTCACAGTTCTGGAGGCCGGACATGTTAAGATTGGGATTTTGGCAGGGTTGGTTTCTTGCGGGGCTTATCTCATGATTGATTGATCACTTCCTTTTCTCTGAGCCCTCACAAGACCTTTTCTCTGTGGACCTACTTCCCTGGTCACCCTCTGTGTGTCCTGATCTTTCAAGGGAACCTGCCACGTTGAACTAGGACCTACCCTGAAGTTTTAACTTGATGACCACTTTAAAAGCCCTATCTCCAAACACAGTTCCATTCTGAGGTAGCTGGGTTAGGGCTCCAGCATAGGAATTTCAGGGACTACATATAATTTATTTATTTATTTAAAAGATTTATTTATTTGTGCATACAGAATTGGGGTACAGGCCAGAGGTGTAAGGGTGGTGAGAGGATTCACCAGAGACAGAGTGGGGAGCAGAACAGGCTGACTGATGAAGTACACTGCTGAGGGGAGCAGCAGGCAGTTCAGGAGAGGTCTGCCACGCCATGTGGGTCAGCTCCAGGATGAGCGGGGATCGAACTCATGCTGAAGTGGCTTAAGCTTCTCAGTGCTGTGCTTTAACCCACTGTGCCACCAAGGAGGGCCCACTACATATAATTTAAGCCATAACAACCTTGAACCATACAAATCTGGTGTTAAAAGGAACATGAGTTGTTGTACAGACAACAGTCACCCCAGGTAATGCTACTACCTGTGTATTCTTCATTCGCCTTCCTATT